CTTGAGGAGGCTGGGATACCGCCGGTTGTACCCGAAGGCGGTTACTTCATCATCGCCGATTTCTCCAACGTTGTCGATCACAGCTGGGCAGCGGAAGTGGTGAACAGAGAAGCCAGAGATGTCCGCTTTGCGAAATGGTTGATTCGCGAGCACAAGCTGTCCACGATACCAGTCAGCGCGTTCTACTCGCCCGCTAACCGACACATAGGCGAGAACTACGTTCGACTCTGCTTCATTAAGAAGGACGAAACGCTGCAGAAAGTGGGCGATATTCTGAGACAGTGGTCGCTGGCAAAGTTGCAATAGTACGTCGGCAAAATGTATCCGAGTACTGTACGAATCAGGGAATGTGCTCGATGTAGGCCAATGGACTGCTATGATAGACATGCAGTCGTGTTGCATGCATCCACGCATTATTTTTAAGACGCGAAAACACTGTAGCTGTTTTAATAGTCATTCTGTGGAAATTATACCAACTGGATTGTATGTTATCAGCATAACTAAAATGAGATCGACTAAAGTGGTGATATGTTAATCAACTATTCAATCAACCAGTAGTGATATATATTTTTAGTTATACGCGGGTACAGTAAGTTGTTATTGAAAATGCATCATAACAAACTGCACAGAAACGATTTTATTGAAACTACATACAAGATTATAGTGGCATGGGAACTCGTCTAATTAAATGCATTTTTTTCAGTAGCATATCATCATTATATCGTACATTTTATTTACCTTTCCTATCACATTACAGGTACATCATCTCAAAAGGTATCAAATTAACGCTTATACTAGATGAGCAGTCTACTAAACTGTTGGCACATTAACGAAACTGAAGGAAATTATTACAAATTCAATATACATGTATTAAACGTAAAGATTTTACATTTAAATGATTGCATGAATATTTCACAAGCACTATTTGTTTGGCATTCAGAAAGCAGCAGATCCACAAAAACGTTCAAGCAATCCAGAAAATGTTTACAGATGACTATCTGTGTGTGGTGGGGGGGGGGTGCGTGCGTGCGTCCGGTCGTCCGTGCGTGTGCGTGCGTGTCTGTATGTGCGCGCGTCCGCGCGCGTGTTGCTTACAATCGCACTAGGCCGTGAAAATGTATAAACAAAGACTTGAGAAAACAATAATACCAAATTATTTCATCAAACATTTTCAGTAGCCGTTAGCGGTATTATGCTATAGATATTAAATATAACAGAATATAAATGTACAAACGAACGACTCTATGACAAGAACACATCGTATTCCATCGATGAACGCCATCATTTCATGCAATGGCATTCTTTGAATCAATCAACGCTTTGCCGTGCATTTCTTCGTCCAGAATACCAATTAAACAGACGATTACAATATATATTGCAACAAAAATTATACACCATAGAAAATCCGTGACGTAGTCAATTTAAGGCCACCGAACACTAGAGCAACATAGCAAAGCAATCGGACTCGCGAGCAATATTGCCCTAGTGTGCGGTGGCCTTTACCACATACAAATACAATAACGCGAAAGGCAAGAAATATATCGGTTGGTCAACATCAAGATACGATCGCTGACGGGCAGACGGACATTTGATGATTGGTATGTAATCTAATATACATATTTGTGAGTGACTCTCTGTTTGTCTGTTCCCGATTCATATCAATATGGGCCTATCTAGATATGTCCAAGGATGCTCAGTAGATGTAATTTTTGATGCTGAATGTCATGGGCACATGGGATTTGACCTCCGAGGTTATCTGACGTCGCAGGAGGCAAAAAAAACGAGGCAAAAATCGGTGAAAAATTGACCGCACATGTTCCTGCAACAGCATTAAACTAGAAAGAAGGCACTAGGGGTGTGCGAATCCTCCGCATACGTGATCACTACACCTGTGATATTTTGTAGGCTGAGGTTGCTACTTTTAATGGATGACGTTGACCTTGGTCTGTTTTTTGTACTAAACCGATCGACTATCTGCCTGTGCTTTTTGTTTTTGTAGGATATTCATTGTGGGATGTCATTTATTTATGGATGTTTTTTTTGCTCTCTGGATTTGTTAATTCAAATAGAACGATAACTTTTAATTCGCAAAGCAGATATATTGATTCATGTTTCATGCACATTTAACTGCATGAACAAGGAGGAATGTTAGAACTCTAAATACATTGTACAATCAATTAAAACAATGAAAATTGGGTGTGCTTGTCGCGTATATTTGTATGAAACCTGCAAATGTGCAATGTGCATGCTAAATTCATAACTACGAACTGGCTTTTTCTACAGCGCAGTGAACACACTCTACCACATACTACACGCTTGGAAATGCCGCCTGCAACCTCCGCCTCGCGTTAGCAATGGTGCGGTCCTTTCGCTATATATACTTAATGACAGTATACTTAATTATTATATGATAATAAGGTCAAGGTCACTCAGAATCAATAGGGTTCCAGCGCTCCATAAGATGCACATGTGGACCAAGTTTGAAGTGTCTACCTCTTACGGTTGCAAATATATCGAGCGGACAGACACACACACACGCACGCACGCACGCACGCACGCACACACACACACACACACACACATAGTACACATAACCTACGATATAGAATCGCAAAATATTTGCATTATGGGGGACGCGTAATATTTTGTCTGTTCATTAAAAAAACAATTTACAGTTATGCCAAACTAAAATCGTTGAAATTGGTCTATTACAAGAAGTAGTGACAATCCAACATTAGGCGATCTACATCCCATTTTCTCATTGTACTACTGACTAATTTTTCTTTCAGAAAATAAAATACTGGTAAATAGTGCAAAAGGCAATAATGCAATTTAGTAAAAAAAAACGCTTAGGCCTCTAGAGAAGTAGATTAATTATACCTTCCTATTTACCAAAGAAACATGCACATGCCACACATACTCATTTTATAAAGATTGAACAAACCCCGTCCACAGTAAACTATAAGGCCAAAAACCAATATCCTAGGTTAAGTAATTTTTTACTTTGTTTCATTTTAATCATGGAATCTTATGGAAGAATCAAAGTAGTTAGTGCAATCTATGTCGTATAATTTACAAATTAATATGCACAGTATTAATTATTATTTAAGAAAAATACAATGCGCACTGTATTGTAGAAAGTATAGCATGTGGTGGAAACTTTTTCCATCTAAATGAGAATTCATTTGGAAAAAAAAATCAGGAAATTGAACCAAGCGGCAAGCACTGCTATTAATGTATAGCTGTCAATTTCAACTCTAAACCCCCCTCCACAGAGCAAGACGTTTATAGACGCCATTAGTATGCCGATCTAAGTCGGAATGATTGTTTTTCAATCTAGAGTCGTAAACCTGACGTTAAACTTAAATAATTTTACGAGCAGTGGCCCGGCGATCAGAAAATAATCAATAAGCGTTTGTCTGGCGATTATAAAATAAATAAGCGACTACCTGACGAGTATAATATATGAGTGCATAATAGGATCTCTAGTCTATGTTAGCGGATACCAAGACTGTGTCTTGTATCTTGGTTCCCTCTCTTGTATTTCACAAGGCACTCGATTCTTCAATGTGCGGGGATTATCTAAAGAAAAAGGAGATTATGACCGCCTCCAGTTCTTTAAATCTTACTGTTTCGAATCATCACAATTTTCCGTATATAATCTACCGCTGGTTTGGTTCAAGGATGGGTTCAACGACGTATATATTGGGTGATCATAATTCATTTTAGCAAATGTGGGGTTAGGCCCTTTAAAGTTTAAAATCGACGAAGGTCTTGTTCAGCAAGAAATTGGTCCTTACTTCGCAGGAAGGCGGAACAAAACGGTGTTGAACCGATGCTACTTTACCACGACCCACCCTCTGTTTTTGGTTCAAGGATGGCTGCATGGCCGGCCCACTGATCTCTCTCTATATGAGGGGGGTACACGGGGTTTTGTCTTCCTCCGCGCCTCCCTGCCCCTTCTGCGCTTCCTCGCCTCCCGTCCGCCCTCTCCTAACCTCCACCGGCACCCGGGCAGCGCCGTGCCCGTACCTCTATCCCCTCCCTCCCACTACCTCCACTTCTCGATCTTCTGTCCTCGCCACCTCGCCTCCTCAGCCAACACCTCCGGAATCCTATATTTGGCTTTTATTTTTGGAATGTCACTTAAATGTTCTCTGAGACAGTTTGCGTACCTTTGGTAACTAAATGTGATTTATCCTGTCGATGTATTTTCTCATGTATTTATTTGTCTCGTGGCTATGATTTCTTTTATTTTCTCAAACTAGTATTAGTATAATCCTCTCTCTTCAGTGGATACCCAAGGATTAAATCTAAGGGGTCGCATGTTTTGGCAATGTTTATCCGAACTTGAACGTCCTGCTGGTGTTAAACAACAAGGTAGCCTTCAAATTTAGGGGCGATCCGATCGGCCCTCCATCGCCCAACCCTCCCCCTGGCTACGCAAATTCTATATCTCTCCTCTATAGGGTCTCCAGCTATATATATATACTATATATATATTATATATATATATATATAATAATATAATATATTCTTCGGCTCTTTCCGTTCTCCTTTTTTCCAAATCCTTCACGCCCAACTGGGCCTCCAATGCTCCCACTCCTCCCCTTCCCGCCCCGCCTGACCCCCTCTTATATACTAAGTTAGTATATAGAGATCAGTGGCGTGGATAGGCTAAGCGCTATCCAGTTAGTATAATAGAGATCAGTGAGCCGGCCTCAGAAGGTACGACATGGTTTCACTTTCAGTAACACGGTTACGTGGCTGTCCCCTCGCCAGTCATCTATTTGTTCACTGGCCTATCTATTATAGCTATCGCATTTATATAGATGTTCCAAGTCCTCTTTCAGATTCTTATTACATAAATTACATCGGTCGTCACTGAAGTTATTTCTAAAGTAACTTTTGAGTTCAATCATGCAAGTTTTACATTTAAATGAAAAACACGAGAAGTTGTGTCAAGTGAATAGCCTTGTGTTTTTACGGAAATTGCCGAACGGCGATAACGCCGAGTGCCGTGTACAAGATCTCCCTTTACGCTCCAGCAACATGGCGGATCAAGTAAGAGTATTTACAAATTTCCTCATAAATGTTCAATAATGAGAACTATAGTTGTCGAATTCGCGTAAAAATAGCTAAACTTTGTCGGGCATATTGAATGTTTGTTTATAAATGTTTAGACCTGAGTGTAGCTTAATGGTGCTGTGTTAGTAGTCCACTAGTCGTGGAGGCACGACCACGGACCAGCGTGAGCGTGGCCAAACGTCATCTCTGTGTCAAGAGATTCATTTTTCCGAACAGTCTTGTTTTCAAGTGAAGCTATTATTTGAGATTACTGACCATGCAATGTCGAGAAGCTCAAATTTGTGGTCTAGCAAGTCAATGAGAGTTAGAAACGTACAGTTGACAGGCCCGAAACTTTTCTTTACAATTGCTTTCATTTGCTCAACCCTAGTACTACTACTAGTACTACTAGTACTAGATGCAATAATGTAACCCAAACACAGGATAGGGTTACAACGCGAGCCTATTCTTTTCTTTGAAGGAGCCCCTGAGTGATTCACTCAGGGCGGTTTTATGGTGCGTTTTTCGAGACTACAACTTCCAAACTGGGTTTATTCTAAACACGAACCTTTCTCCGCTATCCTGAGACTTACTACATATCACAATACTCGGTATTAAACTATTATAACCGGTTACAACATTTTGAAGTGATGAGCGGCGATACTTCCAGCGCCTGTTCTGTTGACCTGTGACGTACAGATTCTAAATGCGCATAGCGTTCGGCTAACTTCGTCATGACGTCACGACTGACAGCAGGCATCCCATGATACATTCGATATTGGAGTCGAAGTTAGCCCAATGCTATGCGCATTGGGAATCTGTACGTCACAGGTCAACAGAAATGGCGCTGAAAGTATCGCCGCTCATCACTTCGAAATTTTGTAACCGGTTATAATAGTTTAATACCGAGTATTGTGATACATAGTAAGTCCCAGGATAGCGGAGAAAGGTTCGTGTTTAGAATAAACCCAGTTTAGAAGTTGTAGTCGAAAAACGCACCATAAAACCGCCCTGAGTGAATCACTCAGGGGCTCCTCCAAAGAAAAGAATAGGCTCGCATTGTAACCCTATCCTGTGTTTGGGTTACATTATTGTATCTATACTAGTACTAGTACTAGCTTGGTACCTTGGTAATATATAGTTTGCATATGTACTAAACTAGGATTGGGTCCAGTAGAAATCAGTTAGTTAATGGGGCTGTAGGAGTGCTTGACATGGTGTTAACGAATCCAAAAGGAAATTTACACTTCTGGCTTTCTTATTATTAATAATATTGTATTATTTGTGTTATTACTTTCTGGCAATCCTGAAGCATTGCCAGTTATGCACTGAAATTAAAGAGTTGTGTATACAATATATGCTTGCTTGCATACACATGCATATTCATATTAGGATAGTTTAGGTAACCAGCACATATCTTTTTTTATCCAGACTGAACGTTCGTTCCAAAAGCAGCCAACTGTATTCCTGAACAGGAAAAAGTCGCTTCCTAGTAAAAAGAAGAAGGGTCTGCGTTACTATAAGAATGTTGGTCTTGGGTTCAAGACGCCCAGAGAGGTAGGCAATACCTAACAAATTGTTTGCGAAGCAAGTGCAGGTATTTTATACAGGGGTCGAAATAAGCGATGGTCCGATGGTCCGGGGCCATCAAATAATTAGGAGGACCATCAGATTTTCAAAGTCAATGGTCCGACAGACCATTGAATATTTTGGTCCCATTTTACAGTAATTTTCTTTGAAGTTTCCACGTTTCGATTATTGCTAATCCAGTGTTGACCATAGCAAATATTTGGCACGATGTAAGCTGGTGCGGGATTGGTCAGATTGTCCCTCTTCCTGTTTTGATTGTAGGCCTATCCAATTTTATCACCATGTAAAATCTCTTTCTTACGCTTGCACGCCGCATTACTTTTAGAGAACAATTTGTAATTTAGGAGAACCATCTAAATTTTAAACTAGATGGTCATGTGGACCATTTCTTTTTCGCTCCTTATTTCCACCCCTGTTACATTATGTGTAAATGGCAGGCAGACAGTTATTAGTAGGAAGTTTTGCATTCTGGTGCAGTGCTCAAAGTAGCCAGTCACCAGGAGCTGCTGAATATGTGAGGGGACTTTAGCTTGGTGAAACGCTCATCCTCAGTTGTCTGAGAAATTGCTGGGCGATTAACTTTTTGCCAATGTCTAATACACTTCCTCATGGGGCTGAGTTTTTGGTACAGTATGTATTGTACACAGCAACATTTACAGCTCGACTAGGTACTAGGACTAGACTAGGTAGGCGACAGACTTTAAGTGTAATTATGCTTATTCTATCAATGTGCCCTAGAGTTTCTTCACATGTCCTGTTACGCATATCAACGTTTCGGGTATTTTGTCCTCAAATACCTATTCCTGATCCATTATATGTACTCTTCTGTGTAAGTATTGAGTGTAATATATTTTTCAGGCAATTGACGGCACATATATTGACAAAAAGTGCCCGTTCACCGGAAATGTGTTCATCCGTGGAAGAATCCTCACTGGAATCGTTCTGAAGATGAAGATGCAAAGGACGATTGTAATTCGACGAGACTATTTACACTACGTGCGAAAGTACAACCGGTTCGAGAAAAGACACAGGAACATGTCTGTTCATCTGTCACCGGCGTTCAGGTGTGCCACGTAGATACTGTTGTCGAGTGATATTTTTCTGTATTGTTGGCGACCAGCTCTCAAATAGAATTTGGACCGTCCGTATCTAATTGTGGATGTTACGTTCAGCTCCTTTCTGATGATTCTTGACAGCTGCTTCTTGTGATACAGCATCTTGCAGTACAGAATAAAAAAGTGATGTTCTTTTTTCATCAGTAATTATTCTTATATAATTGCCTATCATAATATGCATATAACTATGCACAATAAATTACCAATATTCTGTTATCGTTTGTTGACTTACAACTGCAATGCAGTTTTTGTCAGTTCTATTCTCATATCTAAACATTTGTCACACGTATTCCCATATCTGTAAGTTTACTCGTAACTTCACTGTGTTTCTGACAACGGGATCCATTCTTATTAAGTTTAAATCACTGTCAACGACATGTTTCCTGATGAAAGATTATAATTAACAACCCTCCAGCAGGAAATGAGTGACAGCTACTGCCAAATTCACATCTCCAACATTTAACTTTGCTGGTTAAAAGTTTTGTTAGCTAGATTTCTTGTAATAGTGAGTATCTGCTGTTTTTTCCAGAGATGTCCAGGTGGGTGATGTTGTAACCGTCGGTGAGTGCCGGCCACTTAGCAAGACTGTCCGCTACAATGTGCTGAAGGTGACCAAGGCAGCAGGCAGCAAGAAGTCCTTCTCAAAATTCTGATTGTACTTGTAAAAAATGGCTGCAATGATCATATAAAAACAAAAGTAAAATAATCAGCGACCACACTGTTGTTATTCGTGTTTTTATGCGGTGTTTCAGTTTTGTGTCGTATATTTCATAGGGGTAAAATTACTATGATAAAAAGCAATGGTGAAGTTGCATCCTTTAACATGCCAATTCTGTACAGTACTAGGTGGGATTCATACATGTTATTATTATTACTATGGAGAAATGGGTTTAATTCTGTACCTAATCACTCAAATGAAAAGGAACATGCAAACTTTCACAACTATTTTTAAGGCGCTTCTGGTAATTGCATATTATTTTTTTAACTTCATTTTTACCAGCCAGTATAACTAGTTGAATAGGATGCATTTATGTTCCTCCTCGTTTAATCAACATTCTCAGTTGCAATACCTGAGCTGCTATGTCTGAGAAAATTTCTGTCACATTCCACGCTCGTGGGGAGGCAGATCGTAGATGTGATTTTCGCTGAACATTAGTGGGTTATGAGAGGAGCCCCTCATAAATGATGCAATGATGTGTCACTCTGGTAAACATGTATAAGTGATTCATCAATATATGCGTGCTTTATAATTATTTCTCACACTAGGTGTCGCGACGAACGTATATGGCGCAGATAATTATGGCGTGTACAATGTGTTCAGAAAGGGTTTGGGCTCTTGAACTTTGAACCTCAGGTTGAGGTGTCAGTTACCTGTTCATTACACTCCCAAGTCCCAAATCAGCGTACATATGCTAAATTTTTCATCTCTTCAACTAAATATGTTGCGAGCTATTTAAAGTTACCACATTTGACAAACGTTGAAACGGATACATTAATATAATTATATGTATCCTAATCTCCCAGACAGGGCTTCACACAGTTCATATAAGCTGCCTTAAACCATTACCGACAATAATGAATTTATAAAGTGGATTTGAAATGAACTAGTGTTATCTGATTGGCTCGTTGGTCTAGGGGCATGATTCTCGCTTAGGGTGCGAGAGGTCCCGGGTTCAAATCCCGGACGAGCCCAATTTTTATCCTAATAGAGACCCCATTTTGAAATCGGCTATGCATTTCTACTCAATAGAATGTAAAGAAAAAAATTTATATTAAATGTTAGAACTAATAATACTACCTATATCTTGCCTATATATATATATATAGGCCTATATATATATATATATGCTACGATATCTATATTGCAGCTTTCCGGCTTTGCACCGTGCTTGGCATGTTGTGTAGTCGACGGGTGTCGATCACTAATGGTATAAGTTTAGTATTTGCGCGTGTGAATACGTGCGCGCATGCGTGTGCGTGCGTGCGTGTGTGTGTATGTGTCTGTGTGCCTGCGTGCTCGTACATGCGTGCGTGCGCGCGCGCGCGTGTGTGTGTATGAGTGTGCCTGCGTGCTTGTACATGCGTGCGTGCATGCGTGATAATTGTGTGCGACATGCAAAACTACAGGCCCGATTACAACGCGTGTGTGCGTATGCGTGTGCCTGCATGCTTGTACATGCGTGCGTGCATGCGTGATAATTGTGTGCGACATGCAAAACTACAGGCCCGATTACAACCATCGGGTGCGCTGGGGAGCACGCTATGGTTTTAGGCCAAAAAATATTATTTTATTCAACGCCGTAAACGCAGAAAAGACGGCTTCCCAACTAGCGTTAGTTGCTAGACGCCAATTAATAAAGGTGACCCGTGATGGAGGACAACAGCATTCACGCGCGCGTGTATATATGTGTGCGTGCATGCGCGCGCGCAAGCATGTGCATGCAAGAGCGCACACGTGTATATAGTTAGTATAATATATATATATTAATTCACTGATATAATCTACTTCTGAATATTACTATAGTATATATTTTATATATATGCAACTTGTGCTACGGGTATGGATTTTGTATGTCAAAAAAACAAGATGAATTTAGATACATAACGTAATACCAATAACGTAATATAATCGTCATACCTAGTTCAAATCCTATGTGACGCAAATACTTATTAAAATTCATCCATCGTTTCTATAAAACAAATATTAACTACCAAACTCGCATGGCAGTAAAATATTGGCATGCGACATATAATTATTTAACTGTCCTCTCCCCCCCCCCTGCTATTGCTAGGAGCTATGGTGACGTCATGACAATGTATGACGTATTGAGGTGGATATAATAAATCGTCATCAAGTTAAACACTGTTTACAGCGGTAAGCAACCGCAATCATGGGAAGGGTGGATTCAAGTGTCTTGCTGGTTGTGTCTCCAACATATTTATCTAGCGATTTGCTGACGCCCCATCAGACTAAGCGCGCGACATTCCCTAGTATTGGGTAAGTCAATTTTCATCATTATTATTATATAAGAATAAGTTCGAACGTAATTATGCAATCGGCCATTTAACATCGTATTTATTTAGTTTCGATAAATTTAATGCGTCAACGTACATCTGAATCTACGTTAAACTTTATTTGAAATATTTTACGTACGTTGGTCATGATTTGTTTAGCGTGTTTAAGTCAGCCAGAGACGATGGGTACAGAAGTATCAACGGTTGTCCTATACACTCGCCGAGTTGTGGACTTTCCCAGCAGCATGATAAGCTGATAACACAGCAACACGTCGGCAATGACGTCTTCGAAACGTGAGTTAAACTATTGTGTAACACACATTGCAGCCGCGTTGTAACAGCTTTAAAATGTGTAATAGTTATTCTATTTCGTATATATATACCTCTATACCGCGCCTTACTGGTTGGAACAGTAAAGTACGCGTAAATTGTTTAGCTTCATATAACACTTCATAACGTTTTCACTACTTGATTTTATTAAACTAATGTTACTCTGGATGGTTGTTTCTGCCTTGTTATGGTGTGTCGTTTCAGACAAACTAACGCAGAATCCCGAGGACTAACATCCATACTATTAAGGAGCTCCCGGATAAATGACCAGCTGTTACCACAGCCTCTGCACACAGCACTTGTCGAGTAAATAGTGTAAACTTCATAACATTTCAAACTAAGAACTCAAATCATGCTCAGTACTTTCTGCGAGCAATAGGCTACGTGCATTTATTAAACGTACCTTTTGCAAAATGCACACGTAGATTTGCATGTCTGCTCGGCTCAAAAACAAAAGCCCGCGATTGGGAGGATACATTGGCATGATCATCAGTCACATTGTAGCTAGTATAGTATAGTATCTAAAAAAAATCGTGACCGGTTTTTCCTACAACATAATACAGGCGTTGCCAGAATGCATTGCATTTTTGTACAGGGAGAAAAAAATATCTGCACCGTGGCCCCATGTAATGGATAAGTACTTCACCCACACACCTCACTGTGAAGTGTTTCCGCAGACAAACATCATGAAAAACTGTTATGGTATATATGTTATTGATGAAAGAGTCCGACTGCCGTATTATATGTACGGATAATTTACCCATACTGTAGAGTTGGCTTTTGTTGAGGGTTGCATTGCTTAATATTGTTATTCAGCACATTTATCTGTATATACTTTTAATGTATATTCTCTGCATGGTGAGAGCTGAGCTGTCCATCAGCGCAGAGATGTTAACAGTATTGTAAACGTTTTAGGTATCCAACATTCTTGAAAATGGGACAAGGCCAATTATGCGCTAATATTCAATATAAACATATATAAAATATTAGTTGCTCATCTGGTAAGAAAACATTATTTTTATTTCAGCTGATGATATGCAATTTATAGAACAAGAACTGAAAGATGTTAAACAACGGTGTACAGAGAAAGTGGAAGGAAGTGAAGTTGAAGCATGTGTTTCAGCAATGGTCAGAGTCCGAATACGGTAGGTCTAAACTTCTCAGCATTACTGAACACATCATAAACTTGAATAACATGGCTGTGCTGAAACACTTAAAAAACTATAACGGAGATGCCCATCTAGTAAAAGAAGTAACTATCATCTTTAGAGAAACGTAAGCTTGTTTTATTATTTTAAATAATACTATTCAATTTGTAACATATATATGATCGTTAAATAGTAATACCCTTGGTAAAGTTATCATGTGAGTTTTTTGTGAAATGTTGGTGTGTTTTTTTTTTACAAGGCGGACAAAGTTTAAGGATGTTACGGTATGCCTTCAATTTCCCAAAGATTATCCAAACAGACCGCTTGTAGTTGAGCTGAAAAGTAAAACGTTACCTGACAAACTCCTGGATGGCTTATCAAGATTGTGTGAGAAAGAGTGTGCTGAGAAGCATCTAGGACGCGAACAAGTAAGTAACTGTGAAAATTTCATGTGTTGCAACTTGCAAGAGTGGTGTGAGTTTTGAACATAGTGAAAACTAAATATAGCCTCGCTAACTACTCAAAGAAGTAACGTATAGCCCCACCCATCTATGATGGGTTCAAGTCAAGGATAATGTTATATTGAACGCATCTAATTTATTATCATTTCAGGTGCTTTTGACGCTGAAGTTTGTGAGAACCTTCATAGATGAAAATCCGTTGTGTGTCTGCAGTGACGAGATAAGTCGAACAAAACGAATGCTATCTGATGGCGATGATTGTAAATTAAAGCAGAAGTCGGGGCTTGTGCTTCTTAGAGCTTGCCAAGGTCTATACTTCATCGACGTGAAACTCTCTCTGCCGGATACATATCCCGAAGAGCAAGTTGGGTGTGTGGCTGTGTGCATGTGTTATCATTTTTAGCTCACATTGACATCGTCAAGATGAGCTATTGCCATGGGGTGTCGTCTGTCGTACATCCGTCCGTCCGTCAACATTTGGCTACGGTCAACGATAACTTGAGAACCGTTTGACCCACATGTTTCAAATTGCATACAGTTGTTACTCCTATGGGAGCGATTTGAACGTCCTATTTTGGAGCACGCCAGTCGATCTACTTTCGAGCCACGCCCACTTTTTGGCAAAAATGAAAATGGCCATCTAGATTCATTCGATTTTGTTAAATTTACCTACCTACCTACCTAATCATACCTACGTATAATATTGTGTTTTAGATTCTTCGTTACAGTAATTTGACTGGAATAGGTTATTGCTTTTATTTGCACGATAATGGAAAACCAAAATGGCGATCATTTATGCGTAGCGCCATCTCTCGTCCAGATTTTAGACTTTCAGATCTGAAACATTCTAATAAGATTAAAACATTCCCATAACACTCTAACCCTGAAACAAAACATTAAATTTCTATTAGTATAAAACGGGGAGTAAGGACATTTGATCACATTTCGGTCCATCATAAATGAAACACTTACCAAATTTTAAATATCATCTCCCTCTTCTATCACACCCAAGGTGAGCTATAGTGTCATTGACACTTTCATTTAAGCTAGCTATCATGGTTAGGTGCAATCACAAAAATTAATTCAGCATAAAGCTTTGTGTGAAACAAGTGCCGCGGAGCGACAGCGCTCATCTAACATATATATATATATATATATACTGCAGCATAGAACAATTGAAAACTCGTACGCGCATAGCGGGGATTTCTAGTTGTTATAGTTGTTTGAGTATCGTACAATTTTATTTTTCGCAGAAGAATCTCTCTCTACATGTTTCACGTCACCGACTCAGAAGGCGCTACAGGAATATATGAGAAAACTATATGGTACCCGACTTTACTGTGAGCGGTTTGAAAACATGGAAGCTCTTCTTCCGGAACTTATTACCAAGAATCGCGAGATGCGACAGTTTGCAAAGGTCAATAATCAAGGCGATGACAAACGAGGCAGAGGAGATGACACGTTTCTGTCTGGGCCTGAAGCCAGGGAAACATTAAACCAACCGACAGAAACAGCGGTGAAGCCAAATAATGTACTCGACGAACCCGACGAAAGAAATACGACGCCGATGAAAGAGCGCTGCTGTCCGATTCACGGCAACACGGCCCGACCGCTTGCTAACGAACACGGCACAACTACCTTTACCGGAGTTTCTCCTTGTTGGCCACCTAGTTTTAGTTCCGTTATAAGAAAGTTAAGAACGCCCATGCTCATGGAGAGACCAACCGTCACCACCAATCCGCCTGCTCTCTGCTCCTCCTTCCGCTTGGACTGCACCTGCGTTCCCTCTCCGAAACCCAACGTGATTCAGCCCGACGATGACGTAGATCGAAACGATGTTGACAACGAGCAAGTACGAATGACGCTGGCGGTTTCCGGTGAAGAACGGATTGACGGCAAACAGGGGAACACCGACAACACCTCGGATGCATCGAGTGAAAAACAAATGGAAACGCAATGCCGTGATCACGCAGAAACCCCTTCTTCGATCGACGACATCCGCTCGAAAATATCCAGCGCAATCAATATTCTCGAAAGCATTAAACTGCCAGTAATGTCGGGCGCTGCTACAAATTCTACGCATCCGCAAGATCCAGTTTTATTCAACGAAAAACCGTTGGAAATAGCCCGAGACGTCGTTGGCAAACGACTACCTGAACTTCGAAATCCTCTCCTCAGTACAGAAATGCCACGTGCATTGCCACCCACTGCTCTTGCTGACTGCTTACATCCAACAGGAAACAGGGTTGCTGACAAATTAGGTCTCAGCTACAAGACAGAGGCTCACAGAAGGTATACCTATTATATAGAAGTAGTGATTGGTTATTTTACCATTACATACTCTGATAATTGATGTCAATATTTTCTGAATGGATGAATTTATAAACGCAATCTTAAATTGACTACGTCACGAATTTTCTATGGTGTATATTTGTAAATTGTTTGTTGCCATTTTTTACATTAAAAGTAAGTACTAACGGGACTAAACGTATAGTCAAATTCTTACCTGATAAGATTGTTTCTCAACTAATTAAAAATGCAACAAACCTGAACATTTTGATATTATGATCCTGACATTAATTGCTTGCTATGGACTATGTATGAGTCACGAGTGTATGTTCACATCGAACAATATAGTAAAATAGGAAGTATAATGCAGCAATTTAACCATAAAAAGTGAACAGAATTACTTACATTTTTTATTTTTACTATTTACTGTGACGTAATCACTTTAACCATTCACGGACATTAGTCACATCTGTGCGCTCGTGCGTCTGTCATACGCTTACACTTTTGAGGAAAAATAGAAACCAGGTACGCATCCCGTACAAAAAGGCGTGCATCCGTAACCTCACATTTTTTATACATTTATGGACGAATATTCTGAGCAAAAATTCAGTAAATTTTCCTCAGAAAATCAGAGTTTTGCGTCCAAAATATTTCAGATTTTCATAAAGGGGAAATTATTCCCGTTTGTGAAATACACGAAGTTCTCAAATTTGAAGACACGCGCACATTCCATGCTAAAGATAGTGTGTAGAAAACCCCCGTGTCTTGCTTGTTGGCGGTAAACGCTGGGTTTTAACACGGTTTTCCCGTACATTCACTGTTGCAGGTTCCATGCCATGTATTTGGATCCTATCGCCGACCTTCGAAAGTCAAGGACGAAGGGAAAACGCTACTTTTTCTACGGTTACCATTCGTCGGCGTTTAGAGGATAGACTATTGGTTATCGAAAAGATTTTCTATATCCCGAAGAAAGAGCATTACTCGTGTTTAGAAACTCTTTAATGGTTATAATCGCAATGTTTTTTGACTAGTACCGGTGACATTTTACCGTTGTTATATATTTGTTGGAATACACATACACACGCACCCGCACGCGTGTACACAACACAGTCTGCCCTCTCGCTGTCGCTTTGCTATTTCTTTGCGCTCTGTCCCTCTCTCGCGATCAATTATATATATATATATATATATATATATATAATAATGTGTGTGTGTGTGTGTGTGTGTGTGTGTGCGTGCGTGCTGTGCGTGCGTGGCGTGCGTGTGCGTGCGTGGTGCGTGCGTGCGTGCGTGTGTCGTGGTGTGTGTGTTGTGGCGGGTGTGTGTGGTGTTGTGTGTTGTGGTGTGTGTGTGTGTGTGTGTGTGTGTGTGTGTGTGTGTGTGTGTGTGTGTGTGTGTGTGTGTGTTTGTGGATGTGCGAGCGTGCGTGCGCGCGTGTGTGTCCGTTCGTGCTCAGATATGTGTGAGGCACCACTGCACGCATTCGAGCACGAATATATAATAACAATATCCACATATATTCACGATTCTAGGGGCACCTGCATTTTCGCAAAATTCCCCCCAGACGTTCACTCTCGCTGACTTATATTTGCTCACAACAGCCACCAATCTTTCAATATCCACTGAGAACGTGAATCTGTGTATGTATGCGCAGTACTTTGGGCTATATAAGAAAAAATATCCATGACGATAATTGCTCCTGAAAAGTATAGTGTATGGCAGCTAATAGTAGGGCATGGGCCAACAGTGATTATTGTAACGTTAACATTCGTTTGGCACTTCATGGAACATACTGATAATGAATCATCAATGTTTACCCCAAAAGTCTTGCTATATATAAAGAATAATATCAATAATATATAACATAATAATAATAAATATAATTATTATATAAGAATTTATTAAAATTTTTTTGCAAGCACGCAATGTAGAAAACAGATACCTCTTATATCTATTTCTATATTACAAAACATAAACAATAAACTGTTGGGTAATGGGAACTGCCGGCAGATGGCGCAGTATATCAAAATAGTAAGTTAGTAACGAAAGTTGCGGTCGCGAGATAAGGTAAATAATATTCAGGTGTTATTTATGATCTCTGGTTCACTAACCTCTATGAAGTCATTGAAGATTTTCCTTATAAGCCCTGCAAACAGTTTTATGCGGCTATACAGTTCTTTTTAGGAATAATGGACATAGTATTGACATTTGCTTGGGATCAAGTTCGTCGACGTCAAACAGTGAGTGAGTGACACACTGACAGTGATACATACAGTCATTACACATACAATCACACTGACACAGTTGCACACCGAGTGCTGTTGAAATACTGCCGATAGTACGTAAGCACGAATACATATACTAATAATGTTTAATATGCTCCAGTGGTGGAGAGGAAATAATAAGCATGCTAATTTAGTAATTAAGAGTGTCACCGTGAACACTCACAGAACACTACCCGACAGCTACATTACATAGCATACAAATCACTACTGACACTAGATACAATAATGTAACCCAAACACAGGATAGGGTTACAACGCGAGCCTATCCTTTTCTGTGGAGGAACCCCTGAGTGAATCACTCTGGGCGGTTTGCTGGTGCGTTTTCAGAGACGACAACTTCCAAACTGGGTTTATTCTAAACACGAAATTTTCTCCGCTATCCTGGGACTTACTATGTATCACAATACTCTGTATTAAACTATTATAACCGGTTACAAAATTTCGAAGTGACGAGCGGTGATATTTCTCTGCTTACCACTCAGTAAAAAGAGATAGAGTGTGGAAAACGTATACACGGAAAAATTGTCGAGAGCTGACAGTAGAGGTTCTCTGAGGAGATCTAGAGTCAGAAGAGATATTATTATTATTATTATTATTTCGAGCGCCATTTTGTTGACCTGTGACGTACAGATTCCCAATGCGCATAGCGTTCGGCTAACTTCAACTCCAAGATTGAATGTATCATGGGATGCCTGCTGTCAGTGATGTCATGCGTGACGTCATGACGAAGTTAGCCGAACGCTATGCGCATTGGGAATCTACGTCACAGGTCAACAAAATGACGCTCGAAATATC